AGGGGGTGCGCGCGCGCACGCGCGCACACACACACACACACACACACACACACACACACACACACACACACACACACACACACACACGAGCGCTCGCGCACGCACGCACGCACACAATTCAGTCTCTCTTCTTCCTATACACATGCACAACCTTACAGTCTCTCTCAATCACCTTTCAATCTCTCCGTCTTTCTCACACACGCACACACCTTAAAGTCTCGAAAAGGCACAAACCTTGTAGAACGTGTTAGTTACTGCTCTCTTACACATATGTGCACGCACATACACACTTGACAGTCTGTCTGTCTGTCTCATGCACACCTTAGTTTCTCTCTTGCACGTGCACGTACGCACATGCACACACATTACAGTCTCTCTCTGTCAGATACACAAACACAGTCTCCCTCCTACAAACATGCACACAAAAGTGTCATTTCAAAAAGTAAAATGGAGAACAACATGAACCAAGCATGCATGCGTGCGTGATCTCACCTGGTGAGGCGTTGTGGCTGAGGGCGCTCGCCGAACTTCCTGAAGCGAGAAGACACAAAACACAATGGCGGGCTGCTATTAGAACTCATGCTGACCGCAGAGCATAGCTGCCTCATCAAGACCACGCGGTGTGACGGCAGAGGGCGGCCACGTTTGTCAGCAGCGCTTCAGAGGGGGATTTACATGCAGGACACAAATCACATTACATTTGGTCATGATATGAATATGTTTGTCTTGGAGTATGACAACTCTCTGCCTCAAGCGCATGACTCACAACATTGTCAATGTAGGAATGTGAACATGCACAAATGTGGATCCATTCCATTGGAGGTACATGCTCTCAAAGAGAGCACAGTGACCCCCCCCCCTTCCCCTGCAAACCCCTCCAGTGGTGGTTAGGAATCTTGGCAAGAGAATCAGAGGGAGACTCGGTGGAAAGACGAGAAAGCCCCGATTGGTTGGAATCGCTGTAAAACGAGGGCGATCGATAAGGTTCCCACAGTGGAGCGCGGATGCCTTTGGAAGCTAATGGATTCCAGAGGAGGGGGATGGAGGAACGGGATACTGCTGGGAACGCGCAAGGTGAGGCGGATGCGGGAATCCGTCAACCTGTCTTTTCATTTCAGGCAGCAATACATTTTCTATCAACGTTATGACCTCACACAGGCACTCCCAAAGTGATCGAGAGGAAGTATTGAACGCTGCCGAGAACACCCCCCTCCCCCGCCATCCCCTCCGAGATTGACAACTCCCCTACCCCGACTACTTATATTAATAGTTTAAAGAGTGAAACTCCTCTTTGACATGCAACGGTTGTCTACAGTTGTCTCGCTTCAACACACACTTCCTTGACTCCAATTGCTATATTGTACTACTTTCCTACTGAGACAAGTGTTTTGGCAGCATGTTGTGACATGACAGCATTTCACAAAGAGAACAACTGAAAATAGGTTACGAGTGTCTGCGTACTCTGCTTAAGAGGATCCAACACAGGAAACCAAAATGAGCAGAGTTGCAAAGGTGTTGCAAACTGCAGTTTTCGAGGTATAAACCTCAGCCGATTCTCCCGGTGTTGTTGGTAAACTCTGTGAATAGTCTTCATAGCTGACCTGACAAGATCCGTGTTTGCATGGGGCCGGCCCTCCATGCATCGCCTTTATAGACGCAGCTGAAAACGAAAAGGTGACTGAAATTTTAATGTTCTGATTTGTAGGGGTGCACCGTTCACCCATTCACGATCTTTAAAAAGCCTGACCCGCTGATCCCGATTTTTTCTGCACACGCAACAGCACACACCGTCATTGCTCCAATCTTGTATTGTGAAACATTGTACTATACCCGTTAAACCAGGGGTGTCAAACATACGGCCCGCGGGCCGGATCCGGCCCGCAAAGGAGTTTAATCCGGCCCGCGAGATGATTATGTAAAGCATGGTGTCAAACATACGGCCCGCGGGCCGGAACCGGCCCGCAAGTAGGTTCAATCAGGCCCGCAGGATAATGTAAAAGTGAAAAAAATGCATTAAAGACACAGAATTAATATTTTTAATCAGGTGCAATTCATTGAGTATCCGCAAGGGGACACTGTTTTGATCAGAGAAGAAGACAACAGCAGCCTCAGTCTGTCACTGAGACAGACCCATGACAGCAGACGCTATCAATAGCACTCTCACATTTACACATTTAATAGCACTCTCCTTAGTTTGTAAGGTAGAGGCAGGGATTACATTTAGATTTTATATGCACGTGTAAATGCTTTAAAACTTGCTTTCTTTATGAATCTTGTTTAATCTTAAAGTGCATTACTATATTTTTCAATACCAATTACTTGTTAAAGTTTGTACAATCAGTGGGATCAGTTGCAATGCATATATGTGAATGATAAAAGTAAATTGCACATTTGTCGAAGGAAATGTAAGGTGCTTCATGAAATGTTTTGTAAAAGATATGTTCATTAAATTTCAACATTTTCCTAATGTTCTTGTGCTTCTTTATACCAAAACAAAGGAAAGACATATTGTTTTGGTTATTTATAGCAAAGTATTGTATCATTTTAATGGTCCGGCCCACTTGACATCTACCGAGGCCGTATGTGGCCCACCATGTGAAATGAGTTTGACACCCCTGCGTTAAACAATACAAACAGGTGCCCAATACCTCAAGTCGGCTGATCAGCTGCTCCTGGAGGTACCAAAGTCTAAACGGAACCTTAGATGGGATCTGGCTTATTTTTTTATTTTTTTTTTTTGCGCCGGGTTCAAACGATGGAATGACTTGCTGGTGCACATTTGACAAGCTTCTTCACTCTGCATTGTTCAAAAACCCAGTTTTATTTCTTGGCATTCAACACAGCACGAGACTTGAGCCCTTGTTTTAGTGATTTTAATTGTTTTTGAATTGATATGCTCAATTGTCTCATGTTTTATATTCAATGTGTTTGTTTTAGCTGTGTTTGTCTTCATATCCTGGATTTTCACCTACTGTCGGTGTGTTTGGAATCTATCCCAGAGGATTAACAAGAGGTTCAGTGTACGTTGTTCATTTTCCAACACAAAGAGACAAAAAGAGCGTGGATCAGAGGTTTGATCAGGTCAAAATAAAGCATTTAACAAGAACGATGACACAGGGAACTGGCAAGATCTGGACTACAAACTGACGTTTTACTCTGAAAGCCTGTCGAGGCTCACGCGAGGAGGAGCGCTGCGGCTTAAAGGAAAGTGTTTGGTTTCCTTGCCCGAGGGCTGGTAGCAGATCCTCGTAGTGGCGGCACACCTCATCATCAACATGCCACTCCCATCCCGTGATAGCCACGGGACAATTCGGTGACACCCACCACATTTGAAAATCTAACAAAAAGGTTCGATTTGAATCTGGCAGGTACAGTGATCATTTTTGACGACGTGAGCCAAAGCAGTCAAAATTATCCAGGCAAACCAGAACAAGGATTAAAAGCAAATGGATGGAGGTTGTCCTTCAAGCGCGGCAGGTGTGGAAAAACAGGTCTCGCCACGCAAAATGTTCAACAATCTTGGGAAAACTAAGGAGTTGGT